GTTCATATACCGCTTCATCATGACATGAATCTAACATTGGATATTTCATAATTCTGAGTGCAAAATTTGACATTTTACGTTTCACATTAGAATATGACATTCCAAATTTTACTTTGTAATAACAAGGAACATAAAAAAATTGAAAAATAAAAAATAAAAATGAAAGACTCTCACATCAATTTGAAAGAAATCATCATCCGTTTTATCCTCAAGAAATGGCCGCGTGGATCTTCGGATGTCTGCAACAGAACTCACCAAATCATTTACAAACAAACAACTAATGAGCACACGCAACACAAGTTCATCAGTGAAAGTAGGACTGAAAGCCCCCTATTCTGGAAATATTATAATGTCACCATTGGGTAGATCCTTTGAGTTTTCATCTGTCACTTCTTTGGGAACAGAAGCATCTTCCGCTGGCTGCAAAGTTATTTTTTCACTTGAAATGGATGAGGCTCAAGATCAAGAGAGGCTGCTTGGCATCCTTCCAATTCTCCTGTTTCATACTTCTGTTTTTGAGTAAGTACGTATATAAATTCTTCGAAGATCTGAATTCTCAGATCTCAAAACTTCATTTCCAGCTTCTCTTTTGTGGGTTCAACTGCAGCTTCTTTTAGCAACTGCAGCTGCTTTTTCAGCATCTGTCCAAGTCTTCAGAAGCAGCACCCTTTTTGCCTCCAGGGATTCAGATTCCACTGAATCTTGACTTCTTCTTTTCTTCTTCATTCACACAGCATTTCATTTCTCCTCCGAGACCCTGAAGCTGTTTCTCTTACAGATCTTAACTTTCTCTCCTCTTAACATTTAGCCTGTCTCATCACCTGGGGTGATTTCTAACATGCTGCCTCCTGACTGACCTGAGAACTTGGTTCGTTGCAAGATTCTCTTTTGGTAACGTTCAGTCACTACCTTCACAATTGTCCCTGGAGGGGCCAAAGCAACTTCTTTGTAGAGAAAAGTTTTCCAGCTCTTTAACACTAATTGGACTAGCTGCAGGGCACGACTGGCAAGTTGATCACTGGAAGCGGGCTAGCTGGAGTTGATTTCTCAGTTCCACTGGTGGAGGGGCTTGCACTGTTTAGCTTTGGACTGAAGCTTGCATTTTAACAAACTTCTTGAAACAGGAAGATTAGATCCAGCAGATTCACTCGGGATTTGTTTTGGGGATGTGAAATTAGTGGGCTTTCCTCGATATCTTGTTGACTGAGATACATTCATGAAGTTAGTATTCAGTTTTGCTAAGCTTGGCCTCCTTGAACCAGATGATTTGCGACCAGTAAGTGAGACCCTTAGGAAAAGCTTCCTGCCATCCTTCATCTGAATTATCATTTGTGCCAGGTCCTCATTTTAATCAATATTGATTGATCTGGAATACTTGAATCAGATTTCTCATTTTAGTTTCTGCAAATGAGCTTCAGATTTGTTCTCTTTATCAATTGAATTTCTAGCAGGAGGAGTTGGAGACAAAATTTCATCCTTCTGATATTCATTGAGGAGTTTCCCAGGTTTGGCCTGGTTTGCCTTTAACCTGTATGACAAAGGGAAAACTCTTAATCAGATTATTTCAGGAGAAAAAGAGTAAGGATAGCAGTGCAAAAAAGGGACAGTGGATATAGTAACAGTTACTACCTTTGCGAGCTTTCCTTTGGGCTTCTCTCGCCTTCATATCTGCATCTGGGTTATATAATCAAAAGGTCTGAAACACTGGATCCAGATGAATTAAACTGGTTAATATCAGATGGTAGGGAATATGTTCACAAAAAACACAAAATATGAAAGGCGGGGAGTGACATGACGGGTCATAAAATTAACCTCATTATTGGATCAGTCAAGCTGCCAACCATATATATACATATTCCACTGAACCTAGTGAATATGGAACAAACTAATTTAAGATATGCAAATCCTAAGACCCACAATCAACAATTTGTTTACATGCTTTGTTAGTTTTGCTACTCCAATGGAAAAAAATTGTGAATGATATATGATAGCAAGCATACTGTATGTAATATACCTAAATGTTTGCTCGAGATTGAGGATCTGGTTTTGGTGGTACCATTGCGTGCGCTTCTTGCTGCTCCAAAGCCTTGACTCAAAGTATTCAGCCATGCAGCAGCATCCTACGATGTTCATTACAGAAACTGAGGAACAAGGATGCCATATAAAATGAGATTCAAACATCAGATAGGAATTGATGCTACCTGTGTTCGTAGATCCTCAGACCCGAGTTTGGCTGCAGTATTTGGAGGGTAGTTTGTTCATGCTGAACACTCAAGGAGTATGCTTCCATCAAAGAGAGAGCAATTGCTATGCATGGTAGCTGGCGGCAGTCTGATGAAACAAGAAATGTATTAAAAGCAAATAGTTGACTTAATATGTAAAGCTTGGAATGAACCTAACTCAGAAATTTTCAACTTACATTTCAGATTCCAAACAGAATTTTTTGGTTGAAAAAGAGTTGGCATTATATCAAAGCATCATTTATTACATCAAAATATTCTACTTTCAAATCTTTCCTTCATGAGGAAAACCTTTACCTGTATATGATCAGCTCCAAGCAATCTTTGGTTACACTTCAGAGCTTCAGGAGGTACCTAAGAGCAACATGACATTCCCCAAGCCTTCTTCATCATTGCCACATTAATATAGGTGGCAGCAGTATTTGGATGGAAGGACCACAAGTCAAATGCAAGAGATAAGAGCACGATTGACATACCTAGAATATGAAAAAAAAAAAAACATGAATGTAAGTCCAACATAAGTGTATGCTCCGGATGCAAGTCAAGAAAAAAAAAAAGTTTCAGCAATGAAAAATTTCATTCTATTATCAAATCGTACTTCAAGGCTAACTCTGTATGTTGAAGCCGATAGTAGAACACAGCTAAGTCCCCAAAACTTTTCATTGTGTCAGGATGATCAAGTCCAAGTTCTTCTCATTTATATCCAATGCTTTTTGTTGGTAAATGGTTGCCTAAATGATGTGCAAAAGGTTAGTATATAAAGTAGAAAAATGTCAAATGTTCCAAAGTAAAAAGGAAAGCTAAAACAACTAGAAATGTTTTTGGGGTCATAATTTGTGCTGGAATATTCATGAATTAACATTGGCACTTCTTTCAAATTCTCAGAATGTGTAATGTATAGCAATGATCTCGACTAACTTAAAAAACATTAAAAAAAATGTGATGTATACATACTAGAGATCAAGTGTTTCAAGCAAATACCTGGTTAAAATCCCAGTATGGTACAGCACTACAGCCAGAGACTATATGTCCGCTGTCATTCGATGATAAGGACCACATACCGAGACAAGTTTTGAGAGTGCCTTCAAGATTTAGTATGAATTTTGGTTCAATTCAATGAGATTTTGAAAAAATTATCATAAACACCAAAAGTAGAATTTATCTTGTACCTTAGTGCCATAATGACAGCATCCTCCAATTTACCTTTATCCAATGAAGTCTGGATGATTCTAACAGGTACGACCATCGCAGATGAACATGCAACATGCTGTAGATGATAAATAAAAAAAGTTAAAACAAAAAAGTAAAATAATTATATCCAATGCAGCTTCAGCATGAATTATCTAATGTTACTTATATACAGGAACCATACTTATGATATAGACTTCCGAAAAGGATATGCAGTGTCCAATCATAGTCCCTGGGACAAAGCTCAAGCCAACCTGACCAATGATGACTTCATTAAGAACGAGATGGAGTATATCACACTGCGTATAACAAATAATAGCAAAAGGCTCTAATCATCAAACCTTGTGGGATAACCCTCGAAGAATAGCAAATTTTCTCAGATCCTGGCAGCTTATTCTTCCAACACCTCCAAACCTCTCAAAAGGAAGGTTCAACCCATTTCATTTAACATGTCTCATTAGTGATATCTGCATCGGCATTTTCAGTTGAAGGCGTTCCTAACGTAATTCAAACATGATGCTATTGACGCAGCCAAGTCAGCAACATTATCAACAGCTGCTACAACAGCTTGCAATATGTGTTGTAAGCTCGAACAACCATCTCATGTATACATAGTGATTGCACATGAGGAGTTGTCAGCAAGTTCAACCTATAATGTCCAGGAAAATATAGCCAAATGAATATAGTCAATTTAGATCTATAGCCATATCAAAAGGAAGAAATTAATAAACACACCATCAGAAGAAATTCTTTGCAACAATCAGTAAAACAACTTAAAGTAGCTCTACTGAACAGGCTTACAAATTCTATTTTTCTCCAAATAGGAAAGCCAGAAGTAATCTGTTAACCAATTCAAATTTAATCACATGACCAACCGAATATTCTCTCAACTTTTTTCATGCATTCTTCTACCATAACTCTGTTGTGTACATAAATTCTTTCCTTTATACTAAGATGAAAAAAAATCAATTCCTAGCACTTCCTAGATGTAGAAAGTTTTAAAATGGTGATGGCAGAAGCTACAAAAGTTAAGACACTAATGAGTAAGTGATAAATTAAAGAAATTACCACAGCCCCAAGGAGCACATTTGCAGACCCCTGGTGTGCATAAAATTGTCAATGTCCTTCCATCGACTGGTGAAAGTTCAAGGGAGCCAAAATCTGCCACCTAATAAATTCAAGGTCACACCCCAGATATATCAAGCTCAAACACCTCAGGGGCAAAGAATGAATTGGTTATTTGGGACTAACCAGTTTTGGAAGAGCAGTATCAGCATAATATTTATGTGCCATTTCGATCAACTCATCAGGTGACTGCCAATAGAACAAACCAAAACATTATTACAAATGAAAAAGTTACATGACATGAAAAAGAAAGAAAAGCAAGTTTAACAAGCATATAAGCAATGGCAGTTAACAAACTGTCATATTTTATGAAGCCAACTGTTTCGGAAATTCGCAAGTTTTATAATCTACAGAGATCAATTTTGTGCTAGTTATCCTTCTGTAAAACAAGCAAACCTTGAGGTTGGGAGAAAACCAATCAATCTAAGAGAGAGACAAACTTCACCCTCGCTATGTTGAATTAATGTGTCATTTCCAGGTCTTGAAACTGTAGGACAATGTTTAAATTTGATGGTTGCTTGCAGGGTTCACATATGAGGCACATTTCAGAAGCATTAAGTTTCCAGGTTCCTGGAGAAGAAACTTTTCAAGCCATTCCCAAATGGCCCTGGTTCGTTTTCTTATCAGGAGCAATGGGCTGCTTGGTTTGCAGCTCCCTCTCCCATCTCCTAGCTTGCCACTCCAAGCGCTTCAACCTCTTCTTCTGGCGCCTCGATTACGCGGGCATCTCCCTGATGATCGTCTCCTCCTTCTATGCTCCCATCTATTACTCCTTCTACTGCAATCCTTACGCGCAATTCATCTACCTTACTTCCATAACCATTCTTGGTATCCTCGCAATCATCACTCTCCTTGCACCTGCTTTATCGAGTCCTCGCTTTCGCTCTTTCAGGGCCGCCCTGTTTCTCACCATGGGATTCTCAGGAGTGATCCCAGCAACACATGCAGTTATTCTTCATTGGGGTCATCCGCATATATATTTGGCCCTTGGATACGAGCTCGCCATGGGTCTTTTATACACTGTGGGAGCTGGATTTTATGTAAGTCGAATACCTGAGAAATGGAAGCCTGGAGCATTTGATATTGCAGGGCACAGCCATCAGATTTTCCATGTGTTTGTTGTTCTGGGAGCACTTGCTCACAGTACTGCCACAATATTCATTCTGGATTTTCGCCGCAGATCTCCAGTCTGTGTGTGTTAGCCATTCTAGAAACTTAGATAAAGGCATTTTTTTATCTGTTGTTTCCTCTTTGTTTGGCTTGGATTTTATAAATACAAAGACAGTACATTCAGTTCTCTTCAAAAAGCTAAGCACTTCAGTTCATAAACATTCGCTTATAATGTGGAAGGTATTTTTGAGTAGTAAGTGCTTTTTGTAAAAGTACTTTCCAAATGCTTTTCCAATGAAACAATTATCCAGTTCAGTCAAAGTAATCAAATTGATAAAAGAGCTTCCAACAATACCAAAAGCACTTCCAATCACATTAGCATCAGAAATTGAAACAGGCATTCAAATTGGATATCAGAACTGTATTTAGCTTAAGGCAAGAAACTGAAAATTATTATTGCATACCTCCAATGCAGTCATCGATCAGTCTGATCCTAAAAGTACAACACAGAAAGTACAAAATCTTCAAGTTCATTATTGTTTCCATTAATGAAAAGAATAAAATGTAAGGACATGAAGTCACCAGCGACCTACTCAAACGATCCTTCTATGGTCATGGTCTGTTTCTTAATTTTCTTTCATATACCAACCTATCAACAATCTTTTTCCTCACTGCAGCAAAACCGAAATATCTATCAAAACGTCTTCATATTGCCCGGGTCTAGAGAAAATCATGTCATAAACTTCACAACAGAATTAAACTTTCCGTGGTTACCCGGTGTCCTGCAATTCCATGTTACCTATAGCCTCTTGTTTCTCACAGCTATACATTTCTCACAGTGAACAGATCACTTTGTATTTAAAAAAAAATTAATAACCCTTCCTCAACTTGTAACCTCAACTGTCTCAGCTTCACTGTCACTGTAATCTCCCCAACACTTGCTTTGTTTTTCCTCGAGGCGTTTGTCACTGCAAGTTTCTTTTGCCAAAACAGTGTCGCTAGTTACTGGTGATATGTTTGTTGCATTTTCTTCAATTACAGGATGAGTGCTTTCATCATGTACAGATTGATCTTCGAGAGGTTTTAGCTCAATTGGCTGTTTTTCATCTTTAATTTCCATTGAGGAGTTCTCCTCTCCTGCAGACTCAGTGTTGCTTTCAGCTCCAACATCGACAGTTAAAATAGTAGGCGATTCTACAGAACCAACAGGAGATGCAGGAAATCCATTTTGAGTCATTGGCACACCATTTGGTGAAGCTGGATGTCCATTTGGCATTACTGGAACACCATTTGGGGATAGAGGGAAACCATTTGGAGACACGGGCATGCCATTTGGAGAAGCCAGATAACCATTTGGTGAAACCGGATAGCCATTGGGAACCCAAGGTTGGCCAGGTACAAACTCAGCCGCATGTGGGTTCATTATTCTTGGAGGACTGAAGTGATTCACTTCGCCAGTATGTTCACCATTATGGAAACTATGTTTGTTACGTGGAACCCGATTTCCGGATCTATTATAGCCACCAGAGAGCCTTGGGCCATAAGGAACTCTAGCTGTAGCTGACTGGTGAGGTGATCTACGGATAGGATTAACAGTAAGCATTGGAGGTATATTTACTGGTGGAGGAAGAATTCCTCCATGATCTTTAAAACCAGGAACTGGGACTGAGCCAAAGACTGGAATTGTTGAGGGATTAAATGGTGGTGCAGCAGCAGAAAGTTTCTTGGTCATTTCCTTTACGGTCTCAACTTCATCTTGCTTTTCTCCTTCAGTTGTCAATGGTTTAGCACTAATGTCACCATTGGGTAGATCCTTTGAGTTTTCATCTGTCACTTCTTTGGGAACAGAAGCATCTTCCGCTGGCTGCAAAGTTATTTTTTCACTTGAAATGGATTGAGGCTCAAGATCAGGAGAGGCTGCTTGGCATCCTTCCACTTCTCCTGTCTTCAATACTTCTGTTTTGGAAGTAATGCTATATAAATTCTTCGAAGCATCTGAATTCTCAGATCTCAAAACTTCATTTCCAGCTTCTACTTTTGTGGTTTCAACTGCAGCTTCTTTTTGAGCAACTGCAGCTGCTTTTTCAGCATCCGCTTCCAAGTCTTCAGAAGCAGCACCCTTTTTTGCCTCCAGGGATTCAGATTCCACTGAATCTCTGACTTCTGTCTTTTCTTCTTCATTCACACAGCATTTCATTTCTTCCTCAGAGACCTGAAGCTGTTTCTCTCCTACAGACGTCTTAACTTTCTCTTCCTCTTTAACATTTACGCCTGTCTCATCACCTGGGGTGATTTCTAACATAGCTGCCTCCTGACTGACCTGAGAACTTGGTTCTGTTGCAAGATTCTCTTTTGGTAACTGTTCAGTCACTACCTTCACAATTGTCCCTGGAGGGGCCAAAGCAACTTCTTTGTACGAGAAAAGTTTTCCAGCTACTTTAACACTAATTGGACTAGCTGCAGGGCCAGACGTGGCAAGTTGATCACTGGAAGCTGGGCTAGCTGGAGTTGATTTCTCAGTTCCACTGGTGGAGGGGCTTGCACTGTTTAGCTTTGGACTGAAGCTTGCACTTTTAACAAACTTCTTGGAAACAGGAAGATTAGATCCAGCAGATTCATTCGGGATTTGTTTTGGGGATGTGAAATTAGTGGGCTTTCCTCGATATCTTGTTGACTGAGATACATTCATGAAGTTAGTATTCAGTTTTGCTAAGCTTGGCCTCCTTGAACCAGATGATTTGCGACCAGTAAGTGAACGACCCTTAGGAACAGCTTCCTGCCATCCTTCATCTGAATTATCATCTTGTGCCAGGTCATCATTTTTAATCAATATTGATTGATCTGGAATACTTGAATCAGATTTCTCATTCTTAGTTTCTGCAAATTGAGCTTCAGATTTGTTCTCTTTATCACTTGAATTCTCTACAGCAGGAGCAGTTGGAGACAAAATTTCATCCTTCTGATATTCATCTGAGGTAGTTTCCCAGGTTTGGCCTGGTTTGCCTTTAACCTGTATGACAAAGGGAAAACTCTTAATCAGATTATTTTCAGGAGAAAAAGAGTAAGGATAGCAGTGCAAGAAATGGGACAGTGGATAGTTAACAGTTTATCACCTTTGTACGAGCTTTCCTTTGGGCTTCTCTCGCCTTCATATCTGCATCTGGGGTTATATAATCCAAAAGGTCTGAAACACTGGATCCAAGATGAAATTATAACTGGTTAATATCAGATGGTAGAGAATTATGTTCACAAAAAAACAACACATATGAAAGCCCGGGGAGTGACATGACGGGTCATAAAATTAACCTCAATTATTGGATCAGTCAAGCTGCCAACCATATATATACATATTCCACTGATACGCTAGTGAATATGGAACAAACTAATTTAAGATATGCAAATCCTTAAGACCCACAATCAACAATTTGTTTACATGCTTATGTTTAGTTTCTGCTACTCCCAAGTGGAAAAAAAATTTTGGTGGAATGATATGCATTGATACGCAAGCATACATTATACTGTATGTAATTACTACCTTAAATGACCTTTGCTCGAGATTGAGGCATCTGGTTTTGGGGTACCATTGCGTGCTGCTTCTTGCTGCTCCAAAGCCTTAGACTCAAAGTATTCAAGCCATGCAGCAGCATCCTACGATGTTCATTACAAGAAACTTGAGGAACAAGGATTGCCATATAAAATGAGATTCAAACATCAGATAGGCAAATTGATGCTACTGTGTTCGTAGATCCTCAGACCCGAGTTGGCTGCAGTATTTGGAGGGTAGTTTGTTCATGCTGAACACTCAAGGAGTATGCTTCCACCAAGAGAGAGCAATTGCTATGGCATGGTAGCTGGCGGCAGTCTGGATGAAACAAGAAATGTATTAAAAGCAAATAGTTGACTTAATCATGTTAAAGCTTTGAATGAACCTAACTCAGAAATTCAACTTACATTTCAGATCCAAACAGAATTTTTTGGTTGAAAAAGAGTTGGCATTATATCACTAGCATCATTATTACATCAAAATTCTACTTTCAAATCTTTCCTTCATGAGGAAAACCTTTACCTGTATATGATCAGCTCCAAGCATCTTTGGTTACACTTCAGAGTTCAGGAGGTACCTAAGAGCAACATGGACATTCCCAAGCCTTCTTCCATCATTGCCACATTAATATAGGTGGCAGCAGTATTTGGATGAGAAGGACCACAAGTCAAGCAAGAGATAAGAGCACGATTGACATACCTAGAATATGAAAAAAAAAACATGAATGTAAGTCCAAATAAGGTATGCTCCGGATGCAAGTCAAGAAAAAAAAAATGTTTCAGCAATGAAAAATTTCATTCTATTATCAAATCGTACTTCAAGGCTAACTCTGTATGTTGAAGCCGATAGTAGAACACAGCTAAGTCCCCATACTTTTCATTGTGTCAGGATGATCAAGTCCAAGTTCTCTTCATTTATATCCAATGCTTTTGTTGGTAAATGGTTGCCTAAATGATGTGCAAAAGGTTAGTATATTAAAGTAGAAAATTGTCAAATGTTTCACAAAGTAAAAAGGAAAGCTAAAAACAACTAGAAAGTTTTTGGGGTCATAATTTGTGCTGGATATGTCATGAATTCAACATTGGCACTTCTTCAAATTCTCAGAATGTGAATTTCAATGTACTAAAATAACAACAGAAAGACGCTTAAATGAATCTGAACAAGATCATCCATACACTTACCAGGAAAAATTAAAAAAAAAATGTGATGTATACATACTAGAGATCAAGTGTTTCAAGCAAATACCTGGTTAAAATCCCCAGTATGGTACAGCACTACAGCCAGGAGACTATATGCTCCTGCTGTCATTCGATGATAAGGACCACATACCGAGACAAGTTTTGAGAGTGCCTTCAAGATTTAGTATGAAATTTTGGTTCAATTTTCGATTGAATTTAGAAAAAAATTATCATAAACACCAAAAGAATAGAATTTATCTCGTACCTTAGTGCCATAAGTGACAGCATCCTCCAATTTACCTTTATCCAATGAAGTCTTGGATGATTCTAACAGAGTACGACCATCTGCAGATGAACATGCAACGTGCTGTAGAGATAAATAAAAAAAGTTAAAACAAGTAAAAAGTACAATAATTATATCCAATCGCAGCTTCAGCCATGAATTATCTAATGTTACCTTATATACAGGAACCATACTTATGATATCCGACTTCCGAAAAGGATATGCAGTGTCCATATCATAGTCCCTGGGAACAAGCTCAAGCCCAACCTGACCAATGATGACTTCATTAAGAACTAGAGATGAAGTATATCCACACTGCAGTACAACAAATAATAGCAAAAGGCTCTAATCATCAAACCTTGTGGGATAACCCTCGAAGAATAGCAAATTTTCTCAGATCCTGGCAGCTTTCATTCTTCCAACACCGTCCAAACCTCTTCAAAAGGAAGGTTTCAACCCATTTCCATTTTAACATGTCGTCATTAGTGATATCTGCATCGGCATTTTCAGTTGAAGGCGTTCCTAACAGTATATTCAAACATGATGCTATCGACGCAGCCAAGTCAGCAACATTATCAACAGCTGCTACAACAGCTTGCAATATGTGTTTGTAAGCTCGAACAACCATCTCATGTATACATAGTGATTGCACATGAGGGAGCTTGTCAGCAAGTTCAACCTATAATGTCCAGGGAAAATATAGCCAGAATGAATATAGTTACAATGTTAGATTCTATAGCAATATCAAAAGGAAGAAATTAATAAACCACACCATCAGAAGAAAATTCTTTGCACAATCAAGTAAAACAACTATAAAGTAGCTCTACTGAATCAGGCCTTACAAATTCTATTTTTCTCCAAATTAGGAAAGCCAGAAGTAATCGTGTCCTAACCAATTCAAATTTAATCACATGACCTACCGAATATTCTCTCCAACTCTTTTTCATGCATTCTTCTACCATAACTCTGTTGTGTACATCACAAATTTCTTTCCTTTTATACTCAAGGATGAAAAAAATCAATTCCTAGCACTTCCTAGATGTAGAAAGTTTTAAATGGTGATGGCAGAAGCTACAAAAGTTAAGACACTAATGAGTAAGTGATAAATTAAAGAAATTACCACACGCCCCAAGGAGCACATTTGCAGACCTCTGGTGTGCATAAAATCTGTCAATGTCCTTCCATCGACTGGTGAAAGTTCAAGGGAGCCAAAATCTGCCACCTAATAAATTCAAGGTCACACCAACCAGATATATCAAGTCTCAAACACCTCAGGGGCAAAGAATGAATTGGTTATTTGGGAACTAACCAGTTTTGGAAGAGCAGTATCAGCATAATATTTATGTGCCATTTCGATCAACTCATCAGGTGACTGCCATATGAACAAACCAAAACATTTATACAAATGAAAAAGTCTACATGACATGAAACAGAAAGAAAAGCAAGTTTAACAAGCATATAAGCAAATGGCAGCTTAACAAACTGTCAATATTTTATGAAGCCAACTGTTTCAGGAAATTAGCAAGTTTTATAATCTACAGAGATCAAATTTTGTGATATAGTTATCCTTCTGTAAGCAACAAGCAAACCTTGAGGTGGAGACCCGTTTCTGATTCTTTAAGACGCAAATATGCAGCTTCAGGCAGCAGATTTTTCCACATCTTTTCCGTTTCCTCATCCCTTTTCTCCAGTTCCTTCTGATTAAGGGTATCGGAGTTCTTGTTTGTGTCAAGGCTGTTATCTGCTGGAAACTCCTTGCCCTTTTCAGTTTTGCTGATTCTGGCATCTGTTTTCTTCTTTATATCCTTGAGCTGTGCCCCTTGCTTCCCAAGACCCTTAACAGCTGGCTCAAGCTTAGGTTCTTCAGTTTTCATAGAATCATTCTTCCCCGAAGCCTGATTTTGTAAATGTTGCACCCAACATGCTCCTAGCTCCCATCTAATAGATCTAGTGTGTTTAGAGGGTTCTTCCTGCAACTTCAACAAACTATCCTCCATTACTTTCCGCACCAATGACCTAGCAGACCGTACATTCTCAAAATCTGCACTTTGAGATCGCTGAAATGTACTAGTGAATTGAGGAGAGGATGACTTGTGCAACAGCATTCTCAAGCTGAAAAATAACATTATGAAAGAAAATCAATCATATGATCTTTTGGAAAAGATATGCATGACCATGTATCTTCGTATATGATGTGTGCATTGTTCTTACTGCAGCTATTTTCCTTATGCGTCTCAATGTGAGTGCATTGACAAGAAATGGTTTAAGTGTTTAATTATGTGAACCCATGTATTAAAGTAAAAGATATCCATCAAAGAAGCAGTAGATTGACGGTCAATCTTGAATCCATGATCATTAAGTCAAGAAATTTACTGACCTGTTCACGTTCAAGGCATTTGCACCACCTTCAGGTTGGTCCTCTATATCAATGTCCTGTGGAATAGGACTTCCCCCCCAATTTACCTCTGTCGAAACTTTTACAACTGCTGTGTAACCACAATGCCTAATAATAACTACACCTAAAGTAGAAGTATCCTGCGAGACCAAAGGGTGAACTCACCAATTAACATAAGTTACTTCAGTAAAATGCAATAACCATTTAAAAGAATTTGCACTCACATGAACAGTTGCACTCTCATCGGCTGTTATGCCTTTTAGTAAGTTTCTCTGAGAGAGGTCTTCTTCTGATATATCAAGGACCTGGCTCCCATCATTTTTACAATCCAATTTTACACTTGCATCAGACACATCTCTTGTCACCTTAATAACTAAATCTCCAACTCTTTCCTCATGTGAAATTGAAGTGGCAGGATCATTTAAAGAGTTTTGATCACAGTCAATGAGGTTCTTGATAGCTGCAACAGCTTTGAAAAGTGAAACGTCGACAAATAAACTGTGAAGTAGAAAGGCTTTCCGATCTCGAATTTGCCTCTCTTCTGCAGTTTTACAAGGCATTGCGGCCAAAATTGCAAATTCTTTTGCCCACTGCCTGTTATCATGCTTAGCATCTCTTCCCTGCCCACCCCCACTTCCTCCCCAATTTTCATCTTCCACCGGAAGTGGTGGGAAAACAGCCGGGTTATCAGCAACAACAGGAGGGACAACCCATGTGTTCGCCCGAAAACCATAAGGAAGGTTGCCGAACTGAAATGAAAAGCCAAACCAAAATAACGTAAATGTACGATCAATGTTCCCTATTGACTAAATTTTAATTTTGGTTACATAATGAAGTATACATACTTTGTTGTGCTCAGTAAAAGCTTTCATTAGGGCTTTGTACGCCTGCAATCAAAACTCACAGTTTAATGACTACCGTAGAAATTCCATAACCAAAAAAATGCAGCAAATGTGAAGTCATAAAATTAAGCTGAACTTACGGCATCAAAAACCCTGCTTATCTGCTGCAGCAAACTAACCAAAGAATGAAAAAGAAGGAGATGCTTTCCAGCAGGGTAGAAGCCCTTCCGGGAAGCAACAATTGTCATCGGCTTCCCACTGCATACTCGAACCTGCATATTAATTCACCCATCCCAACCAAATACACGTCAGACACAGAAAAAAAAATTATGGTTTTCGATCTTTCAACAGAGCATCGTTACTAAAACTGAGACTAGTAACAGGAAATGTGGAACCTATAACAACATTACTACTATGACAAGTCTGAGTTCTATATTATGACAAGTGTGACATGAATCATATACATTAAGAGTAAATGTCATGTTTCACATTTCACATTATTGAGCTAAATATGTCACGGTTCATATACCGCTTCATCATGACATGAATCTAACATTGGATATTTCATAATTCTGAGTACAAAATTTGACATTTTACGTTTCACATTAGAATATGACATTCCAAATTTTACTTTGTAATAACAAGGAACATAAAAAAATTGAAAAATAAAAAATAAAAATGAAAGACTCTCACATCAATTTGAAAGAAATCATCATCCGTTTTATCCTCAAGAAATGGCCGCGTGGATCTTCGGATGTCTGCAACAGAACTCACCAAATCATTTACAAACAAACAACTAATGAGCACACGCAACACAAGTTCATCAGTGAAAGTAGGACTGAAAGCCCCCTATTCTGGAAATATTGCTAAACTGCCCTATAATTCTCTCCAGCCTCCCCTGACAAAGTTAAACCTCATGGAGGTTAATGATAAAAGAAACTTCAGGGGAGGTCGGGAATAATTTCAGGGGACGTCAGCAGTATTTTCTAAGGTGTAGGGGTGGTTTCAAATTATTGAAGACCTCGGGGAGTTCAGAAATATTAACCATGAAAGTGCTGGAGAGAGAGAGAGAGAGAGAGAGAGAACGTACATTGCAGCGGCGGAGTAAGGTTCGAGAACGAGAAGAAATCGTAGAACTGGCCGAGTCTCGGCGGCGGACACATCGACACCTCGTCGGATTTATCCGCAGCATTCTCCGCCCCGTCCTTTCCATTATTCGCCACCTGTCCGACGGCGACGCCGGCACTGGAAGCTTTCTTGTTGTCAGAAGAACCGGATTTCTGAACCGAAGCATCGTTCTCGACTAAACCGGACTCCTTCAAAGCGTTACTGGACCGGGCGGCAGGTTTCGGCGACGGGCCGAAGCTGTTGGTGCAGGCGACGATGTCGAGAAGTCGACGAATGTGAGCAACCGCTTGTTCTTCCGTGTAGTCCTCTGGTGAAATGAATATGATTTGGTGTAAACAAGTGTATCTTAAGAGATTTTTTATATGGATTTTAACCCCTTGGATTGGATGTGCTGGGGTAGATCAGTATTTTTACCTTCAACGATGCTGAGGTGGCAGGGTTTAAGCGAGACGATGTCGACTGAGTCTTTGAGTTTGGATCCTCGCACCTGTAGGGGATCATACAGTCCACGTGGAGGTAGTCAGTGTCAGCAGATATGGTGGTTAAGTTTAGAGACAAATATCATACAACTCCTTGTACTTTATTAAATTCTTTTTAAAAATTTATCAAAAACTCTTCTTAAAAATTTATCAAAATTTAAATTCCATTTACCATAAATGGAGTTTAAATTTTACTCTGTTCCCATCAATTAAAGTTGTATTAAAGGTGGTTTTAACAGTATACTATAAGTTTTATACTTCACAAACAAAATTCGATTTTTGTACTAATTATTGTTTTATTCAAAATCATTAGTATTTTAAATTGGAATAATGCGTTCACTCTTTTCTTACTCTTAGTTTTATTTGTTGAAAATACATTTTAATGGTTAAAATGTATGGTAATACCATCAATGAAAACGATGTGTAGGAAACAAACTGAGGAAATGGGGGTCAAAGTGAAAATAACAAAAAGTAATGATAGAGAAATGAGATAAAGAAGAAATAAAATAATTGAATGTTAATTCTTATGTACCTCATGAGACAAAGAGAAATTGGTCAAATGACAAGTCTCCACATGAACTCCCAAAAGCTTTCTCACGTCCAAGATCCTGTCCGTTGATATTCCCTTCACAAAATCAACCAATTCCAAACTCTTATAATTAAATCAAATAAATTCACAATTACGCCGTCAACAAAATTTAAAAAAAAATCTCTCAAAAAGAGAGAAAATTCAATAAATAAAGGGAAATTTTAATAACCATAAAATAAAAAAGAAAGTAAGAGTACACGTTTGGCTCATACCTTGAGAGTGACTTGTGAATCATCAGGAGTTTCAATTGGAATCTCGATTACTGTAGGCAAAACTGTATATATGAATTATAAGATTAATTAATTAGTGTAAAAAATAATAAATTAAACATAATTAAGTTGAAGATAAGATTGCATTTGGATGCCAAGAAAATGTGAGAAAATGAATAAAAAAAATATAAGCTTTAAACATGTATGCAATTGTAACCTTAACTTGAAGATAAGGTTCTATATGGCTGCCAAGAAAGTGTGTTGAAAATGGATAAGAATCGATAGAAACTTGAATGAGATTACAGTCAACAAGCTAAACACACGTGGGTATGAGTTGTTTTCTCGGGAAACAAACACAAAATAATCAAAGGAGAAGCAAGAAAATATATGTAAGGTGCCATTTGTTTGGCAAGAAAGTGCGAGAAAACTGGATAGAAACCACTCTCAACAAGCTAAAAACATGCATACAATTAAGCACAAGTATATATTCAAGTGGGTTTGAGTTGTTTTCCTTTGTTTTTCTCAGGAAACAAACAGAAAGTAAATAGAGAATTAAGAAAATATATATATAAGACCTTTCTCTTCCTTCTTCTTCTTCTCTCCCTTGCCTTTATGGGGTTTTGCCTTGCCAGTTTTGGGAGCCATTGTGCATCAAAAGAGTTCAAATTCTTTAAAACAAAAATACCCAAGTTTGATTCAATCTCTTCTTTTGGCGATAATATCTATGACTTCAGTCGAACTTATCGATGAAACTTACAGATATCTAGCTCACTTCATGCAAGCTTAATTTAAACATTTAATAACAACCCAAAAATGAACTAAAAATATATATAATAATTAACAGGTTTGAGAAGGAGAAGAATGGGAAACAATGAACCCTAAAAGTGCTTTCACATGGTGAAGACGGAGAAGAGATTCCTGAAAAAGAGAGAGAGAGGTTGAACTGAAGTGAAGTGAGAGTCTGCACTTTGCATAAGAAAAGTGGATAGGGGAAAGAGATTTTGTGAGAGATTGTATCAAGGTAAAGAGAGGATAAAGAGGTAGAGAGTAGCTAGAAACTATACACAAAGAGGTGGTGGATAGGATAAGGTAAGCCTAAGCCAAGAGCTTAATTGTCTTGTTTGTGTTATGTGTAGAGAGAATTGAAATGTGAAGCTAGAGCAATTTGAGGCCTCTCATTTTTTTTCTTCTTGTTATTCCTTTATATAATAACACCTCATCAATCTCTCTAGAATTCTATCTCTCATGGACACTTTTCTCTCTTTAATTCCATCTCATTTAGATTTGGAAGATTGTCATTGGAAAGTATGGAAAGGCCATTGATTAATTTTTCTTATTGATGTGGGTTTTCATCATCTACTACATTCTACTTATTTCAATGAATTTTTTTGACCAATGAATATATGCTACATCTGCTTTTACACTGTTTGTTTGAATAATATAAAGTGTTTTGGACTCACTTTCGCCCACATAAACTCGTACAATCTACGTTCATGTGAGAACTACGTATCCTTTTGTCCATCTTTGGAATGAGATAAGGAAAAAGATAGTGTATAAGAAACTTGTGGTCATGTTGTTTTCAATATCTTTAAGAGGAAAGACTTAGTATACTTAAAGATTTTACATAATTTAACTACAAAATACTCAAACAGATAGGCGAATTTTTCGATGCAAATCGATATATGTATGATCGAATATGTTTCAAGCTGTAAAACTCCAAAACAAAACCGTATAAACTTAACCATTTGACTTGTAGCAAGATGGCAAGACTATGGATTATCTAGAGGTCTTGTGTTCAAATTATACAAAGTAGTCATCTATCATATTTGTGACTTATCTGGTCCATTGAGTTTTCTGGTATTTAATAGACCATGAAAATTAGTTAAAATGTGTACAAACTAGCTCGAACACCTCTCTAATGATTAGTTGAGATGCATACAAGGTATTCAATGGACCTCAAAGATTAGTTGAAATATACGTAAACTAACATAGGCTTCTCGATTACCAAAAAGAAAACCCGTATAAACTTAGAATTTTTGCTTGAGACCTAACACAGAAAATATTGATTCAATTTTGATTTTTACCTCACTCAAATGATTATACCTTAAGAATTGGGATATAAATAGGAAAATGCTTTAGTCAATAAAGTTTATCCCATTTTGAAGGGGCTGAAAATAAAATAATAAAAATCTTTCACATGGGTTGTGTACATAGAAGACAAAGAAGTTGATGTCACTTTATATTTCTTGGCTAATTTAGAAATATACAAAAAGCTTCTTGTCTGAGTATTTGTGTGTGAGAGAATTAGAAATTAGAAGAGAGGCTTCACTTTAGTCTAAAGAAGGAAAATAGAGTTGAGGAGTCGCATCAAATAGAACAATTTTTGCATTTTAATTGAACCCCCTTTACAGGATTATTACTCATTTGTAAGTCTTTTAAATCCAAGTGCTTGAAAGAAGCGTCCATTAATGGCTAAAGTTTAGTATTTTCTTAGCTTATGTTACTTACTCTAAGCTTAATTTAGAGATGTTTTCATTAGCTTGTTTGTTTACCTTCAGTATTTGAATACATTTCCCGTAGTAGATTTGGCTACCTAATCGTACATTCGAGTTTTTACACTCCTAGATTCAAGTAATAAGTGAGAACATATATAATCTTACAAACAACTCAAACTATTAAGCACACATAATAGATGGATTCTTAGAAGTATTGTCCGTTTTAGGTCTGGGAGTCTGTAAGGCTTTATCCTGAAAAAAGGCCTTTGAGTGATAAGGGTGTCGTGTGTTATATAAGCAACCAAAGCTCTTATCTTCTAACTGATGTGGATTGTGGCACTAACTGATATCACACCAAGTTTTTTTGGTAAACACGGTAATTGTATTGATTTTACAACTTTGAAACATATTTTTAGACTAAACTTTTTTACCAAAAGGATTTGCATGAACAAAAATGACAACATATTTTTTGAGATTTGTGGTGTAGAAGCGGTGGCAGTTGTGTAAGTGCTTTCCTGCTTCCACTTGCTCCTGCAGGTGCAATTTAAGCTATCAAATGAAAGGTCAGAAATTAATGTCAGTACGTGCATTATCCAGTGACACATTGGGCCACCATTTCAACCATTAGTATTGCAGATTGCAGACCAGAAATCAAACCATTATCCTTTTGTACTTTCTGTTTGCTCAAACTCAAATAGTGTTGTCATCTATTTCTTCTTTGCAAATCTCAGAGAAGGATCGCTTTCAAAAAAAATATACATAAATTTCCAGTGATTGCTATACATAAATTTCCAGTGATTGCTTGAGGTGGGTGATCATAATTTTGATACATATCACTGTAAAAACGTATTTTATAAATTTTACGTTTTTAGTTTACAAGTTTTACGTTATGAGTTTACAAACTTTACGTTATTGTATTATTACAGAGTTTACACTATAGCAAAACCTAATTATTTGATTAAAAATTATCACTAAAACACGATTACACAAGTAACCAAATATCATTAGTTGTAACCAAAATATTGGATGCTATTCATATTCATACAAGAATATACAATTACAAATCCAAATATTCAAAAAATTCCCAGTTATCAGAAACTCAAGCCTCAATCTCAGGCTCCCTGGAAAGATAAACTATCAGAAAGATACAAAGAGGAACAACCACAAAAGCTGCAGCCTTCAACAAGGCCTCAGTCTCTTCTGAAATCACTCCAATTCTTGACCAGTCTCCACTGTACCTGCACAAACACATCAAATTCCTCAACTTAACTTGGCTGAAAAACAAAGAGCTTGACACATTAATTGGATTGATTAAAAACAGGATCAGAAAAGTACCCGGCATCGATGAACCCTAATCCGAAAACTGCAATGGCAGCACTGGGAAGAAGTGAAGTTGAAAGTTTGATTGGAAACTTTTGTTGTTGAGGTGTTGAAGTTTCGGAGAAGTCTTTCTTTTTGGCTAGTGTTATGACTGGCTTGCTGCCATTTTTGTTCAGTGTAAGATAAGGAGGAGAAGTCAAGCTGATAAAGATAAAGGTCTTTTGTGTGACCAGCATTTCTCTCCAAATGTTAATGTTTCCCAAGATTTTGGCAACATATTATACCAGGAGGGTAAGAAGGTAATTTCGCCCCAAAGTTTACATCACTTGTATTAATCCTTTTATAGAAGGACTTTAACATGTAACGTCGTTGTATGAACACTATGGATGATACTAATCTCTAATAATTATTTTATATAATTAGATGATTATAATTGTTGTGCAGCATAATTTTTTTTTTTTTTTTTTTTTTATGATCGAGGTGTTTGGACCAGTTTGTGCACACCTCAAGTAATTATCGAGGCCTAGTGAATATTCTACAAGCCCAATGTTCTAAGTAAACTATAAATATATGTGGTAAGTGGATAGTTCGAACTGAGAAAATCAATGAAGAGAGTAAACCTTGATCACCAGACCAACCCCTTGAGGTTAGTAGTGCAACTTAATTAGTGGAGTCATAAGATCGACTGCTACGCAACATTGCATTTGCTTTGAGTGATGTAGCTGAGCTTGCTAAGTCTGCAATAGGCAGTTGATAAATTAGCTTTAAACATAGCTTAGGTCAATTAATCAAGTTTATTTTGCAGACAAATAAGTTTAATAGGCTAAGTATACATTAAATATGTACTTCCTAAGATTAAATATAATATATAACACCTCACAAAGTTATCAAAGGAGAAGCAAGAAAATATATGTAAGGCGCCATTTGGTCGGCAAGAAAGTGTGAGAAAACTGGAAAGAGCTAAAAACATGCATACAATTAAGCACAAGTATATATTCAAGTGGGTATGAGTAATTTCCTTTGTTTTTCGTAGGAAAACAAACAGAAAGTAAAAGAGAATTAAGAATGTATATATATGACCTTTCCTTCTTCTTCTTCTAACTCCCTTGGCTTTATGGGGCTTTGCCTTGCCTGTTTTGGGAGCCATTGTGCATCAAAAGAGTTCAAGTTCTTTTAAACAAAAATTCCCAAGTTTGATTCAATCTCTTATTTGGCGATAATATCTATGACTTCAATTGAACTTATCGATGAAATTTATAGATATCTAGCTCCCTTCATGCAAGCTAAATTTAAACATATAACAAAAGCCGAAAAATGAACTAAAAATATATATATAATAAATAAATAGGCTTTTAGAAGGGGAAGAAATGGGGGAATAATAAGCCTGTTGAAACAAAAGACTATTCGAAAAAGTAAAACAAGAAACTCTTTAAGTTTCTAAACGAGCAGCAACTATAATGATTAATAATGGAAATTAAAATAAGCATAAAGAAAAATAAAGAACATAGAAGATTTATAGTGGTTCGGTAATCAATTTGACTACGTACATCCGCTTTTCAAGACAGTAAGGAAAAATCACTATAAAAAATAATCTTACTGAGTTTTTGCTTCCCAGTATACAAGAAGAAACCCGGGGATAAAACCCCTCTGCTAATCACCCGAAAACTCACTTTTTGCCTCACCTCTCATACAACCATAAAATACACAACAGATCAGAGAATATATACACAAGAAAAGGAGAATACGTGTGTAACAACCAAAGATGCCAAATCTCACCAATCCGTTGGATGCATCTTGCAATCTCCAAGGCTCCACCTCAATCTTCATTGTAACAAATTTTCTCTCTCTATTAACCAAGAGAGAAAAATTGAGAAAAAGATGACCCAAAATGTGATATGATCTAAAAGGAGAAAAGACCACAAATACCCCTTAACAATTCTTTAAATACCCTCTGACCACATGTATTAGCATTGACTCCACATAAGCACAAATCAGGTGCCACATCATCACAAATCTCCACCTTGGCATCTAATTTCCTTATTCCCTACTGCCCTAGGAAATTTCTTCACTTTACTCAATATGGAGTAGGCCTTAGTTTATCTAAAGTAACAACTTTGGTAAACATGTCTGCTAGATTCCTTTTCTAGGAATTTTCTCCACCTTGATAACTTTCTCTTCAACCATGTTTTTGATGAAGTGCAGCATCATATCAATGTGCTTCGATCTCTCATGGAAAGCTTGGTTTTTGCACAAAACATAGCACTTTGACTATCATTTTTTATCGGCATTTGTGTCTGAATGAACCCTCGTTCACTAATTATTCCCTTGAACCAAATTGTTTCCTTTTGCAACTTTTGTAATTGCAATGTGCTCAGCTTCTGCAATTGCTAAAGTCACAATAGCCTACAAATTTGCTTTCTAATAAACCAGATTACTCCATAAAGAAAACACAAAGCCAGTCATTGACTTCAATTCCTATTATCAAGATTCCCAACATAATCAGCATCAACACACTCCATAATAAAGTTCATTAGATCTTGCCCCTTATTGTATACAATCCCAGTTGAGATTGTTCCCCTAAAATATCTTAGAATCAATTTCACTGCTTCCCAATGAATTTTTCCAAGATTACTCATAAATCTACTCACATAGCTTACTGCAAAAGCTAAATTAGGTCTTGTACAGACCATTAAGTACATTAAACTTCATACTGCATTTGCATAAGGGATATTGGTCATTTCCCTTTTCTCATCTTCTGAACTAGGACACTAATTCAAACTTAGTTTAATATGTTGTCCCATTGGTGTCTTGACAGGTTAATAATCAAGCAACATACTCCCTTTAAGATAAGACTATCCTCCCTGTTTTCCTACCTCTTTCAATGTTCATGCCTAAAATCTTTTTAGCCTGCCCCAAGTCTTTCATTTCAATCTGCCTATTCATTTCAATCTTAAATCTAACAATTCATAAGCATCCCTACAGGCCAGCAACATATCATTAACAAAAGAGCTCAATAAAGATAATAGTTACCATACAAACATTTGAAATAAAGACAACCATCAAAATTGCTTCTCTTGAAACCATCATTAATCATAAAACTATCAAACTTCCTATGCCATTGCCTAGGTGACTGTTTCAACCCAATCAAAGACTTCTTTAAAAGACACACTTGATTTTTAGAACCCTTTTCAAACATTTTAGGTTGTTCCATCAAAATTCTCTCTTCTAAATCACCATGCAAGAGGGTTGTTTTAACATCAAACTACTCTAATTCAAGTTCAAATTGAGCTATCAAAGATAAAAGAACCCTAATGGTAGTATGCCTCACCACAGGTGAAAAAATTTCAGTGTAGTCTACTTCACCAACCTGTGTAAAGCCCTTTGCGACTAACCTAGCTTTAAATCTATGTGCCTCTACCCCTAGAATTCCCTTCTTTCTTTCGAATACCCATTTACACTTGACAACCTTACTGCCCTTTGGTTTATTGATAAGAATCCAAGTCTTGTTTTTCATCAAGGACTCATTCTTCTCTTGCATAGCTAACTTCCACGGCTTAGACACTTTACTTTCCATGGCCTCTCTAACTATCCTAGGTTCTTCTTCTGTCTCTTCAGCAACTTGGAGTGCAAATGCAACCATGTCTGCCTGTGAATATCTACTAGGTAGCCTAATTTCTCTCCTTTGCCTATCTCTAGCCAACTGGTAGTTTTGGAGCTCATTTTCTTCATCATGAGTTAGATCATCCTCATTCTCCACTAAGGTAGGTTCCTCGTCTTGGAATTGAATATCTTCTTGTTGATAACCTGGCTGCAAACCACCAAGATTATTAGTAGAAGCTTTATCACCCAATTCAAACCTAATTAATTCAGTTCTTTCACTAGCTTCACCAGCCTTCTCAATCAGACCACCTAATTCTTCTTCATTGAACTTAACATCTCCACTGACTATACATCTTTTCTTAGCAACATCCTAGCACTTATACCCTTTTACCCCATTAGGATAGCCTATGAAAATACACCTAATGGCCCTAAGATGTAACTTATCTAATTTTTCATGCACAAAAGCAATGCAACCAAAAACCCTCAAATTACTATAGCTAGCTGGATATCCAGTCCATCTTTTAATAGGTGTTTTAAATTCAATGGCTAGGGATGGAATCTTATTAATTAAAAACACTGTTGTATAAGCAGCTTTTGCCTAGAATCTGGTGGGGAGTTTGGCACAAGACAATAGACTTCTAACCTTTTCCAAGATAGTCTTATTCATCCTCTCAGCCAGCCCATTTTGTTGAGGTGTATACCAAACTGTCCTATGCCTCAAGATTCCACTATCCTTACACAGTCTATCAAACTCCTCATTAATGAATTCTAACCCATTATCAATTCTTAATTTTCCAATTCTCTTCCCTATCTGATTCTCAATCATAACTTTCCACTCCTTGAATTTGCTAAAGGCTTCTCATTTACTCTTCAAGAAGTATATCCACACTTTCCTAGAGTAATCATCTATGATGCTCATGAAAAATTCACAACCCCCCCAGGATGGATATTTAGTTGGCCCTCACACATCACAATGAATGGAGTCTATGATGGACTTAGAACAATGTTTCCTTACACTAAACCTAATCATGCTTATCTTGCCATAAATACAATTATCACAGAAGGTTAGTTTCTTTATTTTGTCCCCTCCTAAGAACTGCTGCTTGCTCAGCTCAACTAAACCCTTCTCACTAACATGTCCCAACCTCTTTTGCCATAAAGAGGTCTTGTTAGGCTTCTGAGATAATGACATAGCTGCTGTTCCAGTGATAGTTGAACCATTTAGAACATACAACCCATTTTTCCTCCCTTGCTTCATCACAGCTAAGGACCCTTTAGTGATCTTAAAAACTCCACCTTGAGCCTTATAGTTATACCTATTTGAATCTAAGCTTTCTAAATAAATTAAATTCCTTTTTAACTCAAGTATGTATTTGACCTCTGTGAGTAATTTTGGACTGCCATCATGCATGCTTAGCCTAACCTCTCCAATTCTTAAGACTTTACATACAACATTATTACCCATCAAGACTTTCCTAGACTCTAACTTCTTAAAGTTCATCAACTATTTGGAGTCATGTGAAAGGTGCACCCTAAATCTAGAATCCACTCAGAATCTATTTTCCTTTCAGAAGCCACCAATACATTTGAACTCTCATACTCATCAAAAGCCACATCTACATTCCCACTAGTATCC